CTCCGGGCCGCTGCCCCGGGCGGGCGGGGGCGGCGGCTCCGTGCCGGCGGGCTGCGGTTTGGGGGCCCCACGCTGGAGCTGTGCAAAATGGAGGCGACTTCGGGGCTGTTTACACTGCGCAGCAAATGGCTGCTGGCGCTGTCGTCTGGCGATTGTGAAAATCTCCCCCGGGGCCAAGGCGGCCGCGGGATGACGCAATGAGGGGCCCGGCAGGGTGCGGGAGGGGCCTGGACGCCGTGTCGCCGGGGGGATCCGAACAACGGCGAGAGGCCGCCAGCGAGCGTTCCCCCCAGAGACAGGTGGCGGCCGCTGAGGGAAGCGCTGGCCTTGGGGGTCTCTGATTGCAGCTGGGGGCCAGAGCCTGGGGTGTTGCGGTTAGAAGGGGGAAGCAAGACGTGATGGGGGCTGGGGCTGCGCAGAGATGGTGCCTGCACGGGGAAGGGCGGGGAAAAGACAGTTTGGGCCTCACCGCGGGGGTGAGGCTGTGCCCACCTGGAAACGGCCTGCAGGGGTGTGGGTTCAGCATGCGGGGCGCAGGCAGGTGACTGGCATGCCACCCTGTAACCAGGTATTTGTTGTTTTTTTTTTTTTTTTGAGATAGTGTACGCTGACGTTTAAACTCTTGTTGGTAGCCCAGGGTGCCCTCGAACTCACGGTGATCTTCCTGCCTCAGCCTCCCTGAGTGCTAGGATTACAGGTGTGTGCCACCACCTGGCCGTCATCAGCTCTTTTCTCCAGTTCCAGGGTCTCCATCAGTTGCTGTAGTAACCTGGGTCCAGGGCCTCGGTGGTGCTCCTGATGTCCCTCACCCACCCCTGAAGATCCCAGGTGGGCGAGGGAATAGTCAGCGGGATCACAATCTTTCAGCTAACTCATTTTATTCTGTGAGTACCTGGGCCCCATGGAGTGTTTAGGGGGGGCAGTCTGAGCGGGCAACTGCCCTGGGTGTAGTCAGAGCCAGTTTATAGCCTGCTCTGCCGGGAGAAACCTGGGTGGGTGACCTGGGAGCTTTCTGGATTTCCTAGCTTGGCGGCAACCCTCTTTTGCACCACAGGGCGATGCCATCTCAGAGGCAAGGTTTTTGAGACAGGGACTTGGTTTTATTTGCCACAGGATAATCGGCTGAATGTAACAGAGGAACTAACGTCTAATAACAAGACGAGGATTTTAAATGTCCAGTCCAGGCTCACGGATGCCAAACACATTACCTGGAGAGCCGTGTGGAGCGGCGGCAGCCTCTACATTGAGATTCCCGGTGGCCCTCTGCCCGAGGGGAGCAAAGACAGGTGAGCGTCCCAGGGGGCGACCTCAGTTGTCCCGTGGGTGGGAGGCGGGCACGAACGGCCCTGTGTCAGAGGCGATCTTTCTGCCGTCCTGGGGCAGTGTCCGAGTGTGGATGCTGATGGCCCTGGCCTGCCTCAGTTTTGCAGTTCTCCTTGAGTTTGCAGAGGAGCAGCTCCACGCTGACCACGTCTTCATTTGCTTCCATAAGAACCGGGAGGACAGAGGTGGGTGACTACCACGAGTGCCTCCCCACCCTGGGAAGCCCCTCCGGGTCCCCCTGCAGGTCCTGATGCTGTTTCCCTTGCAGCTGCCTTGCTCCGGACCTTCAGCTTTTTGGGCTTTGAGATTGTGAGACCAGGGCATCCCCTTGTCCCCAAGAGACCCGATGCTTGCTTCATGGCCTACACGTTTGAGAGAGAGTCTGCTGGCGAGGAGGAGTAGCGGCCGGCTGCTGCTGCGGGGGCCCCCGCGGCGGCGGTGCCCTCAGTGTGCTGCGCTGGGGGACGTAGACTCGGTCCTCTCCTGGGTTTGTCCGCATGTTGTAATTGTGCAAATAAACGCTCACTTCAAATTAGCGGTATATTTCTTGAAGTTTAATGTTGTGTTTGTGATACTGAAGTATTTGCTTTAATCTAAATAAAAGTTTATATTTTACTTTTTTATTGCTGGTTGAAGATGACTCAGACCCCCTTGTACTGGAGGAGTTGCTCAGTGGAAGTCTTTGGACACAGGCTTAGGTCTCCTAATTACCTTGGAAAGGATAGGCATAAATCTACTCTTTGCTCTGGAAAATCTGAATAAACGTGATGACACCTCCTTGACCTGTGTGTGGACGTGTGTGTTACTGGGGAGGGGCCCTGGGGGCGGGCACCCTGGGCTGGGGATCGGCCACAGGCACCCAGGCTAGAACCTGCCTCTCTGGGCTTGAGGCTGCTGGAGGCTCCCCCTGTCCTCTCCCAGGCAGTGGGAGCACGGGCACTTCCGGACCTCAGTGTGTGTCCCTACCTGAGTGATGGGCTCCAGGTGCCTGGGGGCGCTGGGACAGCTGGGCAGTAACCCTGTGGCTGCCCGTAGCCCCAGGAGCGCCTTAACGGTGCTGTATTATGGACCGCGGTGCCACCAGGAACGGAGAAGGGATTAACCTGGCTGCTAATGTCTGTGAGGCTGCAGCGCCACCTGCTGGCTGCGTCTGTCACCCTGAGCCAGCCCAGCCTAGGATGGAAAGGGACACCTTCACAGGACAGTGATTGGCAGATGTGCTGCTGTCCCAGGGAAGGTAGCTGAACCCTCTCTTAGCTACCTTGGGGAACGCAAGTGCGGAGGGGTAGGGAGTTTGAGCTGGGTTGCTGAAGGATGAATGGGCTGAAAGCATTAAAACGAAGTTTCCAGTGGGAGAAAAGGGGGGCAAAAGCAGGCCAAAAGGCGCCCCAGGGTTGAATGGCATGAGGGGCTAGCAAGAGGAAAGTGGGAGTCTTTAGACGAGACCTGAACTTCTGGGGGTACTAGGGAGCCATAGGAGGCGTTAGGGCAGCAGAGGGCCTTGTGTGGAGGTTAGAATCGTGGCTGCTGTGTGGGAATGGAGTAGGGAGGGTACCACTGAGGTCTTGGAGGGTCCAGTGCCCCCGTGAGTCAGTCACTCCATCACCTTAGCTATTAATTGAACATCTACTATATGCCATCCTGGCTCTCCTAGTCAGGGAGCTTACAGCCTGGTGGACAAGATGGACAGCCACAGAATGAATACTCCCAGGGAGGGTCCAGTGCGTGGGAGGGGGCAGGGTGAGAGCTGGAGAGGAACCAGAAGGAGCGACTTTATTGCTTGGAGGAGACCATGGAGGAGGGGAAAGACCTGTGCAGAGCCTTAAACTCGGTGCCAGAGGAGGATGGGGGATGCAGGGCCATGGGTTCGGGCCCTGTGAGACCATCGTGCTGAGGACTGCACCCAAGACGTTTGCAGTGAGCTACATCCCCAGCCCTGTTTATTGTTTACTGGGAGACAATTGCCCAGGCTGGACTTCAACTTGAGCTTCTCCTGCCTCAGCCGCCCAGAGTGCTAGGATGACAGTCGTGCTCGCCCATGTCCCATTCACCAGGCCATAGTTGGCTAGAGCCTAGTGGTCATCCTTTGCCCCCACCTGCTCCCCTCGATGGGGTCCACTTCGCGGAGACAGTACCCGAAGGGGCAGCAGCGCTCTTGGGGAGGCCCTGGGCCCAGGTTACTAGGGTCGTGTCATACACCAGTACTGTCTGCTGGAGCCCGGGCTTTGAAGAAAGTGGGTGTCCACCGAGTCACGGAGATGCCAGCCCCTGCCCGGGCAAAGTGGACAGGCCCGGACCAGAGGTGTCGCTGTCACTTGGGGTCGGCCCACAGCAGCTCCAGGGCGTGGGCCAGGGAGGCCTCCGTGGCCCCGGCGAGGTACTCGCAGCACAGCCACTCCTCCAGGCCCGGCGTCTCCCCGCCCGCGGCGCGCTCCGCCAGGTGCACGAGCAGTAGCGCGCGCCGGACGCGCAGCC